GACACTCTCGTACGAGATCGGCACTTGTAATGCAGTTGGAATTATTACAAAAGTTTATTACAGATTTATAGAGAGAGAAAGTAGAGAGAAGACAGAGTAGTTGAGGATTCAACAACCCAAAGTAAATGAGGTGAGTTCCTATTTATAGTATCCTTAAATGCTATTGTCCAGGCACTATTCACCGGTCTTGTCGCACAGTATTCCTGCAGAGCAGTTCGACACCTCCCTGACAGTATTAAATGCAATTTGAGGTTCCTTCAATGCACACATGGTGGGCATTTAATGCCTGACAGGCTTTTGTTGGACTAGGTGTTGGTAGGGTGACAGGCTATGACTGCCCGTCCCATCACCCAATAATAATCTTCCAAGTGGGAGTATTTTAATGTAACTGAGCCCCGCGCTCGCCTCCAATTTGGCCGCTCCAGATCTATAGATCGACACTCTTACCAAATATGCTCCTCAAGCCCTCAATATCCCTTTACCAGTCCGACATCCTGTGAGGTCGGCACCTCGGTCTCTTGGTGTCAGGTGCCGATCTCGCGAACTTTTCTTATGGTGGTCTTGATCACTTAATTTCATAACTCAGCCTGAAACTTTCGTGCTGGACCGGGTTCTCGACCCGTTTCTGGGAGGTCGCCCCAGTCCGGTTCTCTCCGGACTAACTCGGATGTCAACATCACAGTTGTAATTTGGGCTAGGAAAATGAAGTGCAATAAATTTATGTTGGTGGCCCATAATATTATTTAAGTAATTGGAAAAGTGGGCCAAGCCCACAGTTAGTCCATTATTTAAGAAGTCCTATTCCTAATCTCCTAAGGGTCCCTACTGTAGCTCTATATATATATATATATATATATCATAAGGTTCATGAAAGGAGAGGAAGAGATCAGAACTCTCCTACGTAAAATACAAACACACACTCGATGTCTCTCTATCTCTCTCTCTCTCTCTCTCTCTCTCTCTCAGTTTTCTGTTCGAGCATTATTTTCTTCTTGTCGCTCCACCAGTACAAGTTGAAGAGGTGTGTGAGTAACACAGTAGAAGATCCCGAAGGTAATCGAGACATTGTGATCATCCACTAGAGCCGGCGAATCTCAACCCGAAGGTCGAGATTCGCCGACCCCAGGCCGCCAGACAATCAACCGCTGCGACAAGCCCGAGGACCGCCGCGAGATCGAGAAGCCAACAGACCACCGCTGATCGCGACCCGACAAGCCCCATAACCCGACGCCTGCGAGCCCACATGACCCGATTGCGCGACACGACCCAAACCCGCCTTCCGTTCGTGAGATCCAGTTTCTATTCGTATGTTGTTCCCGATCATCCTGAATTAGTTAGATTCAGATAAATTTTAAGTCGTAAGTTTCTTACATCAAACCCTTAGATCTGCTTTGTACAAAGTTTGAATTTTTATGGCTTTATTTGACAATATGTGTTCAAATGCAGCCATATATTGGATTACATTCGCATAAATTGGTTTTGGAGGAATTAGTTTTATCCACTACTGATTATGTGTTTGATGAATCTTGTTGAATGTGATGTGTTGGGTAGAAATTACTTTTACCGAGTACCGAATCAAAGATTCGTTCCCCGGGTCGATCTCTCGAGGAAGACGGTAAATAATTTAGCTTTGGTATTGATAACACATAAAAGAAAAACAAATATTAAACATTCTAATAAGATAGGGGAGGAATTAACTATCAACTAAGAAATTGCATAAAAACTAAATCCTAAAATACCAACTAAATAATGATAAAGAAACTAGAGAATCAGGGATAATTTATTCAAGTTCGCAATGTAAAGCCAGACAATTGATAGTTCGGTTTGGAATTGCCACTCTCACCTAAACATCTACCGGTTCGCTCCCAATAACTCTTCGTAACAAAGGATTGACATAGACGAGCAAGTTCGAGCATACAATACCAGCCAATTATCCAGTCCCAATAACTTTTCGTAACAAGAGAAAGGACATTGACAAGCATGTATTTCAATCCAAAACTCATAGATTATTCAGTTACGAAATCATCTACCTCATGGGAGCCTATGTAACACCCCGCTATCTTACTAGTATTAGGGTAAACTTTTCGCAAATTCTTTTCTAAAAATACTTGTAAATTCACGAAATTATAACTCGGAATGCTACTGTAAAAATTTATATGTACTGAAAATCCATTTCCTTTAACCTGGTCTAGCTATTATGTTAACATAAAGAAAATATAATATCAAACAAGCATGCTATACTGGACCCATATCACACTCGGGGACCGAGTAAAACTGATACACTAAAAACACTGACATGCAAGTTCGAATGCTAAAACGTCGTAAATACGTGGCAAAATATATACAGACTGCAATGTATATAAAACCCACAAAAAGGCAACTGGCCGACTCCACGACCACAACCACCAAGCGGAGCTCACACCCTCGGCCCGACCCTGTCATCTAAAAAAGAATAAGTAGTGGGGCATGAGCACGAAAGACCACTGTACTCCGCAGAAACCCATACTAAAGCAAACAGCAATAATAATAACCATATCATGATCTTTGGAAGATATATAAACTGAAATGAAACTAAAATAATACTAACTCCAGAACACTATGTTCGGTAACCATGTGCACACTGATGGCATATTAAGGCATCTGGCCTCCACCAGAACTTAAGATGGCATATTAAGTCATCTGGCCTCCACCCTAAGCGGATAATATATATATACATACCTCAAACATAGTAATTGTATTATATTCAATGTAATACCCAGGCTGGGTCCCCACCTGTACTGCTCATTCTGAAAATGTAAGTGCTGATTGTAACGACTGTCCGCTCAAACTGGAAAAATATATAAATAAACTAATATTAAGTACTATGCTTATATATACTCAAAAAAATGCTATGATGCTCGATTCTAAACTGCTAATTATCCAGATTAAGTAGAACACCCTAAAGGTTCGACAAAAATTATAGTAAGTCTCAAAATGACTAATATAGCTAAACTAAAATAATTCGGCTCGTAAAATCTAATATTTTTGGAATATACTTGAACCGAAATATACAAACAAAAAAATACTCGAGCCTCCGGTTCGTTAACTGACTTGGCACTGTCGGGCGCTACCGACGTGCGCCAAGACCAAAAGCGTCGCGCTTACTAGGTGCGAGTACAGTTTTGCTACTTACTAATGCAATGAGACATTCAAGGTCGAGTTAACCCTTAAATGCTCGCGGTTCGCGCGTTGCGCACGCTATGTGCGGACAACATCTACGACCGGTGCCTTACCGGACGTCCTACAACTTATTTCGATTAACACCTCTCAAACTAACATAACATGATCTAATAAGCTGAAAAATACAAAGAAAACTCGGTATAATCCGATTAGACTATATAATGACACGGAAGTGAAAATACGCTAAAAGTCAACTCTTATATAACCGAGCACTTGAAATCAAAACATGTTAAACTTTACAAACATCAAACTTACGATTTATAAGGATTTTTAACATGTTAAACTCGACTTAAACATGCGTGTATCTGAATATTCGATTATAACATCTAAGTACTCGAAAACTCGAAACTAATCGTTTAAATACATGCATGGATGAATATAATCACTTGGTAACTCTTAATATATCAAATGATATCTGATAAAATAGGTTAGACTCGTCTACCTTGATCGACATACGAAAATCCGACAAGAAACCTCTCTCGGCTGTCTCGGTTATGGCTTAAACGAGGGATGAATTTATTATATGAAGTGAGCTAAGTGTGGGATGGATATATGAAGTATGGTAGGATAAGGAATAAATATTGTGAAAGAAGAAATAAACTCTCTCCTT